AAAAAAAAAAAAAAAAAATGAAGAAGAAACAGTAAATAATGCGATATACGAAATTTTTTGATTTGGTCATTAAACTCGTATCACATTGTCTCCTCAACTTTCTACCTCTAACACTCTTTTCTTCCTTTCCTTTTAATATTCTGCCCTTACTTCATTTCCTTTATTCTTCACTTTTTCGTACTTCAAAAATGATGTCATTTACGAGAATCGCCACAAACGATTTACCCAAATGATAGCAGAAGATCTGATTTCTGCAGCAAAAAAAAAAAAAAAGCTTTCTTTTTTGCTCTAAACTTTTCTGTCAATATATATAAGAAGGAAATGAGCTTTTTTCACAAAAAAATTTGTAAAATAATAAAGAAATAAAAACGCAAAAAAAAAAAAATTTTTTTTAGTTTTTTTTATACAGTAAACTGAATGAAATGTTTTGAAAATTTTAAAAGTAGAAAGAGATAAAAGTTTTTTTTTCGAGTTGCAGAATGGTGCAAGAAGTTAATGCTAAAAAAATATATCTTCTTTTTTGTTATTGTTGTCAGTTGGGACATATTCAGTGTCTTGTAAAAAACCGGAAAATTTTTGAGTTGAGCTTAGAAAACTTCAGTGAAAAGTTTTAACTGACAAGCGACGATGACAAATTTACAATTGCTGTTGCCTTTTTTGTCGTCAGTGTTCTGCAAATTATGCATAGGTATTCCTGTATGTAAGTAATATAATATTTTTTTCGTTACTGCTGTTGATGTAACTCTTTTCAGAGAATTCTTTTATCAACAGAGACATTGTTCGTGGTTTAAAATGAGAGAAAAGGAACAACTGTATGCTGATAAAAAAAATCATTGTGTAGCCGATAAACGAAAAAACGAATTTTTTAACGAAAAAACTGAGGATAGCTAAGAAGATGAAAAAGGTCAAACGAAACATGAAACTGAGTGGGTGGAAATTAGCCAAATAGATGGCGTTATATCAGTAGGCAACCCAGGCAGGTCAACTGAAAAACCAACTGCTCTTAGCGTATTTGTCAAACAGAGGTTAAAAAATTAAGCAGATACCCAAGGAAGTCTGAACTAGGCTGCTGAGTTCATTTAAGAAAATTGACTCCAAAACCCGGTGTTGCCTAACAAAAAAAACAAAAGAAAAAAAGCAAAAAAAGCTCCACCAAGTGGAAGAAAAAAGCCAATAAAACAAGGAAATGATGCGGTTAAATGAGGAATTAGATAGTGATAATTAAAAGTCAATACAAACGTTTTTTTTAAATAAATGAATAGTACCGTAGTAATATTTGAATACAAGAAAAAAAGCTGCAAAATTAATGCTCGAAAGTTTTGCCAATTTTAGTGAAAGCATCGGAAGTCGTGGGTAGTTTGCCATTTATAGGAAAGTTGGGTGTGCGCTGTTTCAGCAGATCTTTGCACTATTATCCAAAAATTTTTTTGAGCAATCACAAATGTAAATTTAAGCAGAGAACAGCAGCAGTGACCAAAATTAAACCTAGGCTTCGTTAAGGCTTTAAAAAATAGTTTGATAGATTTTCGATTCTCCTAACTCATCGAATTACTGCATTTTGTTTACCCATTAAAGTATAAATTGCTGACTTTACCGACAATTTTCCAACGCGCTAAGCTAAGGACTACAAAACGCTTGAACTAAGATTCAATGTTGCAGACGGTGTAGTAGGTCTTGCATATCTCTTCATATTTGTTTGAACTTCGCAGTAACATTTCTTCTTATCTTTTTAATTCATTTTTCAATAAAAGGTTAAATTAAAGAAAGAATGGCGAAGCAAAATAAAAAACAAAAAAAAAAAAAAAAATAGATTTTTGATAAGATTGCAAATTGTTGACAAATAATAAGGCATGCTAGTCTGCTGAACATATTCCATTGAAAAAAACCTTGTACATTCTGCAAAAACGATTCAAAATGTACTTCAGTTGTTCAAGAGTAGTTGTTGCTTTAAGTATAAATCATTTGTACTCTTTGATCATAGGCATTTTGTTGCAGGTGTTTATCGCAGTTTTTAGAAATCTGATATAACATTTGAAAAAAAAAATGTGTACAGATATTAACAATTAATATTGCAAATAAACTAATTGTTCACTTCAAGTAATTATTGACATTAAACTTTATTTCTGTTATAGGCTTCAAACAATATTATCATAACTGTTCAAATGGTAAAGACGGATCAATAGAGCCGTCATATAACTCCTCAACTTCAAATTCTTTTCTTAACGATACCGCAACTATAACGGTAATTATTTTGACATTGATTTGGTAATACTGATTAATGCAAATGATATTTTTTGTAGTTATCTGTTTTCTATCATAAAATACCTAAAAGTTATCACAGTTTACTCAGCTGTTTGCTGCAATCATTTTTTTTTTTCTGGAAACAACAACTCAGAAATTTTCAAATTACAATCTAAAATTTTTATAGATTTCTTATCCAACTTTGAATTACTTATTTAATCGTTTGTTTTTAAGGGTAAACAGTGTAGTCGTGATACTTCAATATTGTATCTATTGCTGATGTTTGGTACTCTATGGCTTGGATTATTCTTGTATAATTTCCGGTTAGTTATTCCGCAGTTAACAGAAAGTAATGTGAATTTTACATTTGAATAATTATTCAATAAAAAACAATATAAAGTTAAGTTTTGCAGTTAATATATTTGACATAAAAGTAAACTGAACAGATCAAATAACAATAAGAAAACAAAAAATTTACAGAAAAACCCCTTATTTAACTCGCTCCAGACGCGAATGGCTTGCAGATTATGCATTGCCTGCTTCTGTGCTTATTATGTCGTTTACGGGTGCATATGTTTTCTCCGAAGTTACCAGTAAGCCTATGAACATTTTTTCTATCCGCTCCCATTTCATTACACTGTCAAAAATTTAACCAACTAGGAGTTTATAAAATATGGTTATATTATTTTGTCCAATGTTTATTCCTTTTTTTTTTTTTTTTTTTTTT